AAATTTGTATTCTTGTCACCACTTAACAGCCAAGTTAGTCGGGCTCTCTGTAGCCAATATATTTCCTGTTGTTCTAGCAGCATCTCAATTTCTGCTGCTATATCTTTCCTCCTCTTTTCATTCTCATCTGTCATAGCATCTCTCATAATATTCTCCAGTTCTTGCTGGCATTTCTTAAGACGTTTTCTAGGCTTCTTTAGGACCCTACTGTCCCAAACATGGAAGCATGCATGCATTACTTTTAATTTAGCAAGTACATCTCCCGTGGCATGCCCACTCGCCTCGTCCCATGCCTTTTGCACAACTTCTCCAAACGAAGGTTCTTTCAGCCAACGTGCTTCGAAGCACTTCCGCCCCCTGCTGTTTGGAGGGTTATCTTGGCGATAGTATTCAGTATCTAGCAGTATAGGGCGATGATCCTGAGTGGTTAAACTCCATATTTATCAGCGCAGCAAGAGGGTGCATCTGGGGCCATCCCGAGTTAGCAGCAGCTCGGTCTAGTCTTTCCCGAAGACGTCCTCTCCTCCATGTGAATTTGTCACCTACAAAACCAATATCCTCAAGATTGCAGTCAGTGAGTGCATCTCTAAATGCATCCATATATTGCATTGGCCTCGGATTACCTCCTTCTTTTTCAGATAGTTGCAAAATTTCATTCAGGTATCCCGCAATCACCCATGGGAGATTATTCTGCTGCTTCAACATCCTCATACGGTTCCAAGTCCTATATTTTTCTTGCCACTTAAATTCTCCGTACATCCCAGTAAACCTCCATTCTTCGCCACTTGAGTCCTCAATTTTAACATCAATATAGTTTGGTGATGCATAGATTAGTTGGACACCCGAGTCCCTCTTCCAGAACATTGCTAGTCCACCTTTCCGGCCATCACTGACCGAAACAACCTTCACATCCATCTGCAATTTCCTCCTTAAACACTCAGCCGGATAATCGTCAAGGTGTGTCTCCGACAGGAACATTACCTCGGGGTTACAAGAGCGCTGGACTTCCAGCAGGGCACGAATTGCTGCAGCGTTACCCAAACCATGGCAGTTCCACGACAATATTTTCATTAAGCCTAGCAGTTGTGCTTATGTTCCCTTCCTCCTCTGTCCTTGGTTTCTTTCTATTCTTGTTTCTGCTTAGCCGACTGACTAGGGAGGACAGCAGTACACGTACAGGAACTACGTCCCCAGCACCGTCCTTGGGATTTGAACACTACGTCCAGAATTCAGATATCCACAACTCCACTAAACCAAACGCATCCAATCTGAGGAGATTGGAGCACAACTTCGTCCACAAGACCTTCAAACACCAGTATTCGAGATGCTCATCCTATTATCCTATCCAGTTGAATGAGCAGACTTCCCACGTACCTTGTGAAAATAACAGAAGACGCTAAGGTTGTTGGGCCACTATGGTTGGCCCATACATACATGGAGGCTGAAAGGTTTGGGTAGGCACTAGGAGGCACGTACCGGACCTTGCCTAAAAGCAAACTACCTGATTGTCGCCTAAATTGACGGATTCTGAGCTTAGTCATTTTTTACCTAAATCTGGGTCATTTTTAGGTAGAAGCTAGACATGCGTGGCTCCGTATGCCTAATACTTGGCTAGTGCCTTGGTCAACTTGTGGGCTTGGTTGGGCCTTTGCCTTGGCAGGATTCAAAAGGTTTGTTGGCACGGCAATATACTAAACATCGAGTACACAAATGGGTATGCACACTTGCACGTGTGACAACACAGTAGAGTAAGTCATACATTTTATGAGACCACACTTGGCATAACTTATGTCACTCCATCTCAAAATAAGTGACTTAACTTTGTACTAGCTTTGTGCTAAAGCTAGTACAAAGTTGAGTCACTTATTTTGGAAGTTAGTACAAAGTTGAGTCACTTATTTTGGGACGGAGGAAGTACATGTGACCACCATTGCTATATTAATAACCTGCGTAGAAAAATATAAAATTGAAAAAAAAAAGAATATAAATTTCTAGATAAGTTTGGAAAATCTGAAGCTTTTAAGAAACTTGGAAACATGTGATGTGTGATGTATTGTTCTTACTACAAAGTTTCTTCAGTGGTCAATCTAGGAAAAATCTCGAAATTAGTATAATTAATCCTAAAAAAAGATAGAAAATCAAATAGGAATCAGTTTTCCCCTCATTTTCTACCAAAATGAGTTTTTCTTTCCATAGAAATATTTTCATGAATTTTACTTGCTTGGTCCTAAGCGCAACTCATACACACACGTCACATGTGTATGTTCAAGCATGCTTTTCGTGAGAAATCAGAGATTTATATTTCATCTGTGTTAAATCATTAATTCTACTAAGAAGGTGAGTCAACCAAATTTTCTGGTTGAAATCATATAATATAACTAGTGGTTCATTAAATTCATTTCGTTGAAGGATTCCAAAGGAGTAATTGACGTCAATTTTGACACTAGTTATAAGGAGTGCCAATCATCAACATAAACCAAATCTAAAACTCTGCTCAGGGTGGGCACGCAAAAAATTATAATGAACTTCAGGGGCCCGGTGCAACCATTGATGGTTGAACAAAAGGATGCTTGTGGCAGTAAAAACCCAACGTTTCCGAAATGAACCAACCAGGAAATTAAACATACATAGACAATGGGCAACACAAGAAAGTCATCTTTACCATGTTACTTTCGTTGAAAGATTCCATTGCATTGAAGTCCACAGTTGGCGCCTATCGCTTAGCCATGGACGAGCGCGAGCGTCCATCGGCACCCGCCACGAGCAGGGCACCGGATGCTCGTCGCGCTATCTGAAAGATCATATGGGGGTGCCCTGCTCCCCCGAAGGTACGTGACTTTGCATGGAGGCTTGTGTCCAATTCTCTGGCTACTTGAAAAAATAAATTTTCTCGCCACCTGAAACATACTGACGTGTGCCCCATTTATGGTGTGGAACGGGAAGACGGTTTCCATGCAATGTGTAGGTGCCCCCTTGCAAAGAACCTCTATCTGGCGTGCCATGGCCTCGTACTGGCCATTGCCAGACATTGATGTTGTTCGCAACACCGGACCAAAGTGGCTTTTTACCCTGCTCGTGCCGCTCACGGAAAATATTCGCATGGTGGTCATCTCCTGATGCCCATGTGGCGTGTGTGGTACGTTCAAAATGAACTCACGCATGGGAAGCTAGCCCCTCCAACAGAAGCATTGCGACGCTTCCTGGGGTATATAAGCTCTTTCATGTGCATTCAACAACACTCATCGGGGAACATTGAGAAAGGCAAAGTGGTGGTGCACGTACTAGCTAGCCAGAGCAGCTACGACATGCAACATGCAGGAAACCAGCAAAAGGAGATTTCCTGGTCACTGCCTGCCCATGGATGGACGAAATTGAAGTTATATCAAGGAAACGAGGGCGGCTCGTGGTGGAATGGTGCTTCGAGATGATACCGGTGCTATTATTTTTACTGCATGCAGACAAATCACCATATGCGATGATGGACTAGAGGCAGAGCTTATGGCGTGTAAGGAAGGCCTTGATCTTGCTCTTCACCGCACTATCTTACCCATTGCCATTGAGTTGGACTGTGCTCGGGCAGTCTCAATGTTAAACGCGAGTCATGAGGACCGCTCGAGATACAGTACACTTGTGCGAGACATCCAGATGTTAGAGGACCCACGGAAGATTTTTATTACGCATATTAGGTGCACTCAAAATAAAGTTAGTCATAGCCTCGCAGCCTATGGGCGTAGTATACCCCATACTGCCATTTGGTTTGGTACGGGCACAGACGAAGTTGTAAATTTGTGTACCACTGAAAAGCCACCTTGAGTTATGAAATCTCCCTACTTTCTGCAAAAAAAAAAGTCCACAGTTGGCGGAAACACATAAACAAGGAGTAATTGGCATCAATTTCAACGCCAGTTCACTCGCCAGCCAGCAAGCAAAGCACAAGTTGCATGATCCGGCTCGTCTTGTCATTTTATGATAATCTTGCGACCTTTTGGAGTAACAACATCGTCACCATCAATCTCAATGGCACCAACACCAAACAATGCCTGCATCTAAAAGACTGAAACACAACACACGCATCAAGTCAACAACAGCTTGACACATCACACACCCTAGAATGTAGAAAGAAAATATGTAAAACAAGTCGCACACGCAACAAAATACTTGTAGATCTGGTAAAAGGCAAGCTCATGCGTCAATCGATTCAAAGAAAATGTCTAGACTATCTTTAACCCCAACCCACGGGAGGCTATAATTACCAGCGCCGAAGCCGAATGGCTCACTATAAGCGGCCTGAGAACGCATCTGATCATAAATCACCAGATAAAGCTCAGTTTCTCAACAAAAATTGCACCACTGCTTCTTTTAATACCAAATAATTACTAAATGTGCAACAGCGCAAACAACAACTATTGCCTGACACTGGATAGCCTACAACTGAAAATCATCGGCTAGCACTCATACCAAGTTCAGGGGTGTTTTGACATTTAGCGAGAAATTTATTACTAAACCAGTCTACGAGCAAGCAAGTAGTCGGTCCGTGATTCATATACACAGAAACTGATCTAGCGCACAGTAATGTTTATTACTTGATGCCGCAGAAACTTGAGGCATATTGCACAAAAACTATGTACAGCAGCAGTAGAAATCAAACAGTCTCCCCAACTTGCTAGTATTATATCTCCAGGAGGGTAATAATAATCTAAATTCACATTTTGGCATACATAGCTTTCCTCCAGATAATTTGCATCGGAGGGAGTCTACAAAGTAAACCATAGTAAATAGTGAATACTAAAAGGAAAGAAAAAACAGCGAATCTTTCATACTTAAACATCCTGCAAAATGCTTCCAAAGAGGGTAGGGTAAGAATGCACCAATCATCATCATTAAATTCAGCATTATAATTAGGAATGTAACCCATTATTCTTAAATTGTTCCCACATCGGTTTATGCACCAACTAATGATGAATGCATTTGGCGCAGATACATATAGTACTCTCTAGGATCTAGACAGTTGGGCGAGTGTCAGCACTACAATGCTCCTGGGCAAAGTAGAGACGATTCCCCGGGAGGTCAAATGTGAACCGCGTGTCCACCTGCTGCGCCGCGCCGAGCACCGTCATCTCCTCGTCCGGCACGACGGCGAAGCACAGGTGCTCATGGTTCACCCTCATGAATAACAGTTCCGGCTTGATAAAAAGCCTGGTCGCGTCTTCGTACAGGGTCACGGTCAAGCTCGGGAGGTGCGCGTGGCCCCACGAGCCAAAGCAGAGGCGGTACCCCTGCACCGGCACCGTCGAGCGGCGCGCCCCCTGCTTGTGCATGTTTGCCGCGACCTCGGCCTCCACGACGTCATACGCCGCGCGAGCCAGCCTGGTCAGGGGAGTCCCGGGGTCGACGACGAACCCCCCGCGACGGGTTTGTGGATCCCGCCTAAACATCGCCGTCTTTACCCCGTTAAGCCTTTTCCCGTTCAAGCTGATGCTGAAGACGTGGATGTAGTACATGCTACTTTGGCTGTAGCCCGATCCAGTGAACAGCAGCGGCGTGCTGTGCGCGTGGTCGTGCCTCGGGATGTCGCGGCCGAAGCGGAGGAACCCGTGCCTGGCGTTGGGGTGGCTCTGTCCAGGGAAGAGACAATATGAGAACCGTGAGTCGGCCAGCCCGCGTGCGGTGAGCTGGCTCATGAACGACGTCGGGTGCCTGCTCAAGCTCAGGACCCCGGCGAGAATGTTGTGGTTCAGGTGCTCGAACCCGTTCGTCGTGTGTGCGCAACCCAAGATGAGGTTGTCAACGTCCCTGTTGTGTCCTCCTGCGCCGGGGCTGCCGGCGAAGGCAAACGTGTCGCTGCCGAGGTAGCCGTGCGCGGCGGCGTTCCAGGAGGTGGTGTAGAAGCTGCACCGGTTCTGGCCGGAGGGGGTGTAGGGGGGCGTACACTTGGGGTCTGCGGGCTTCATGTGCTTGTAGCGAGGGGACTCAGCAGAGTCGAAGACGGCGCCCTCCTGCCGAACCTCGGGCACGCAGGGCTTGCACTGCATCCACGTCAGATTGCCGACGAGGTCCAGCCCGAGCTTGTAAAAGTGCCGGGTTTGGCCAGAGCCAACGCCGACAAGGACGCCGTACAAGGGCCACCCCACGGGTGCTATGTGCGGACCTATGCTCGTGAGGTTCGCGTCAAACTGCCCGAGCCCGCCGGCTGTGTTGTGGTTGGACACGATAGGCAGACTGAATCCGGCGCTCAGTGTCGGTGGTGCCACATTGCCGGCGACGGCGTGGCTGGCCGAATTCAGCAGAGCAAGGAGGAAGCAGAGCTTACAAGCATATAAAACAGACATGGTTGATGCCTCCGATCTCTATCCTAGGGCTATGATCAATCAAGCCAGAAAGACGGTTGAGAGTGTGTCCTTCATTTAGAGGTCGTGTCTTAAATAGACTCAGATGAATCCATCTCTGGAGTATCTATCTCTAGATGGATATGCATGCATTGGTGACTCTGATTACTTAGTGCAGCGAGATACAGGGCGGCTAATTAATCAATCCACTCTGAAGTATCTCTAGATGGATATGCATGCATTGGTGAGGAGAAAACTCAATATGTCGATGGTTGAAATGATATGTTCCCTAAACTGATTCCTCCAACAACCTTGTTAGGGCATTTCTAACCGATCCCCTAAAAATAGTGGAGTATCCGGTTGAGCGTGCGTCCTTCATTTGGAGGTCGTGTCTTGAATAGACTCAGATGAATCCATCTCTGGAGTATCTATATCTCTAGATGGATATGCATGCATTGGTGACTCTGATTACTTAGTGCAGCGAAGATACAGGGCGGCTAATCAATCAATCCATCTCTGGAGTATCTCTAGATGGATATGCATGCATTGGTGACTCCGATTACTTAGTGCAGCGAAGTGGGCGGCTAATTAATCAATCCATCTCTGGAGTATCTCTAGATGGATAGGCACTTCAGGCGCCAAAAGGTCGCTATGGCGCTCACAGCCCACAAGCTATGGGCGAATTTTTTAAAAAAATGCGCACGAATTCAAAAATATATTCATGTATTTAAGATATGTTCATGAATTTGAAAAAAGTTCATGGATTTGGAAGAAGCTTATGAATTATAAAAATGTTCGCCCATTTGAAAAAAGTCTACGAATTTGAAAATTTTCAAGGATTTGAGAAGGCTCGCAAATTTTAAAAAATTCATAAGGTAAGAGGACACCGCCGATGCCGCGCTGTGTTTGTTGGGGATGGGGCATGCCTGTCCCTCTCCACCGAGAGGTTCCCCTCTGTGGCCGTGAACGTGGTGTACTTTTGCCCCGGTTTCATGGGACACGGCTCCTCTGCCGTGCGCTAGGTGACGTTGGGCCGCTGACATGTGGGCCAGGTTTCCCACAGGCCCACATGTCAGTGGTAGAACGGCAGGCTGCCGAACGGTAGAGGATCCTCTTCCGGTGTCATGAGCATGAAAAAGTATCAATCCTCCATTGGAGTTTATCCAGAGGTTGTGACGGTGAAGCGTCTGAACAACTTCGAAGCTTGTGCCCTTTGCCCGCCCCTGTACCTCCAAGAGTATCTCATCTGACGCACAGGCATCTTTGAGTGGCATCAAGGACTAATTCGTCTTGAAATTTGTCGTTGTTATGAGCCAGAGTGAGTAGTTAATTTATATGTGTTCTACTCCCTCAGTTTCTGAATACGAGTCTTTTTAGAGATTTGAATATGGACTACATAGGCGTATTTTAGAGTGTAGATTCCCTCATTTTGCTTCAGATGTAATCCATATTAGAATCTCTAAAAAGACTTATATTTAGGAATGGAGGGAGTATTTGATGTATTTTGTTGCTTTTCTTCCAAGAAGCCAAATTCGTGCAAACAAACAAGTATAGTGCTGATAGGAGCTAGGGTTCTCCCCGGTCTTGGGTGTAGGTTGTAGGGGAACGAGGGAGGAGGGCGAGGGCTAGAGCGCGGCGGCCGGCGGCGTGGCGCCGTCCTTGCGCTAGGTGCGGCTGCGGCGAAGGCAGGAGGCGGCTAGGGTTTAGGGTTTCCGGCTCCTCTGGGAGCCGGGCAATAGAATAGTCTTATTGCTTAAATCTGAAAATAGTTTTGTAACTTGTTTATATAACCATGACGTGAAATAAAACTAAGATAACTTGTGGGCTAAGCTTGCCCGGTGGGCCTCCTACGGCCATAGGTCCGGCCGGTCATAACATCTCTCCCCGCCTGCGCAAACAGCTCGTCCTCGAGCTGAAAGTCTGGGTAGTGTTGGCGGAACTCCTCCCGCTGCTCCCAAGTAGCGTCCTCCTCTGAAAGTCCAGCCCACTAAATCAACACGTACCAGGAGCCGCGACGCAGATGAGCCCTCAACGCCTTTTCCGGTTCAGGAAGAAGACGCCCGTCGGTGATCGGCGGCAGCGCAGGAGGAACCACGGGTGGCTCTCCACGGAAAGGCTTGAGCAGCCCCACATGAAAGACATAGTGGATGCGCGCACCCGCCGGAAGTTGAAGGCGGTAAGCCACCTTCCCAATGCGCTCCAGGATAGCAAAGGGACCGGCATAGCGAGGACCCAGCTTCCGCTTCGCCCGTGGGTCCAGTGACTGCGTAAAGCGATGAAGAAGACGCAGCCACACCCAATCACCCACCGCGAACTCCGCCCCGCGATGGTTGCCGTCGTAGTAGTGTTTGGCCAACTGCTGGGCCTGAAGGAGGCGTTGCCGGACTTCTGCCAGCATCTCGTCATGGTTCCGCAGAAGAGCACCGGCCGCCTCGGTCCTTGCCAGGGCCGGATCAACAGGAAGAATCGGCGGGGGCCGCCGGCCATAAGCCACCTCAAAAGGAGTGGCACGGAGGGCGGAGTGATAAGAAGTGTTGTAGCAGTACTCCGCCCACGAGAGCCAATCCACCCATGCGCGAGGGCGATCACCTGTGACACAACGTAAATACATGGCAATCACCTTGTTAACGACCTCAGATTGGCCGTCCGTCTGAGGGTGGAAGGCCGTGCTGAGGCGGAGCTTAACGCTCGCCAGCCGGAAGAGGTCGCGCCACACGTGCCCCGTGAACACGGGGTCCCGATCACTGACGATCGAAGTGGGAAACCCGTGGAGACGGACAATACCGTCGAAGAAGGCCCGAGCGACTGTCGCCGCCGTGTAGGGATGCCCGAGCACGATGAAGTGAGCATACTTGGAGAAGCGATCGACCACCGTGAGAATGACGGACTTGCCGCCCACCTTGGGAAGGCCCTCGATGAAGTCCATGGAAATGCCCGCCCAGACCTGAGACGACACCTCCAAAGGCTGGAGGAAGCCAGCCGGCCTCAGAGTCTCTGTCTTGTTGCGTTGGCACATCACACAAGACCGCACCCAGTCACGGACCAGGGCACGATCACCTGGAATGTAGAAGTCGGCACGGAGACGATGGAGCGTCTTCTGCACACCCTCATGGCCCGCCGAGTGAGCGAGCAGCAACACCTGATGGCGGAGATCGTCGTGCGCGGGAACAAAGACCCGACGCCCATGGAGGAGCAATCCGTCGGCGAGGCGCCACGGCTCATCCAGCTCCCCCGCAGCCAGCTGCTGCTGAAGGAGGAGCGCGTCTGGTGCAGACGCAATCGCCCGACGGATGTCGGTGAAGAGGGCGAAGGAGGGCCCCGAGCGGATGCAGAACGCCGCCCCCTCAGAAGCACCCTCGACGGTGTCGGCGTCACGCCAAGACAGGGCGTCGACGACGGCGCTAAGGCGGCCCGGACGATACTCGACTGTGAAGTCAAAATCGAAGAGCTTACTGATCCACTGGTGCTGCGGCACGGTCGAGAGCCTCTGATCCAGCATGAACTTGAGGTTGTAGTGGTCCGTACGGATCCGGAAAGACCGACCCCAAAGATAGGGCCGCCAGTGACGCGCCGCCTGTACCAAGCCAATGAGCTCGCGCTCATAGGCAGCCAACTTAAGATGGCGTGCGGCAAAGGGCCTGCTGAAGAAGGTGAGGGGTCCATCGCCTTGATGAAGGACCGCACCGAACCCCGCACCGGAGGCGTCGCAGTCGACGGTGAACAGGTGGTCAAAATCAGGCATCTGCAGGACGGGACCCGTCGTGAGGGCCCCCTTGAGGGCCTCGAATGCTGTGGTTGCCTCCTCATCCCAAGAAAAGGCGTCGCGACGGAGCAGGCGCGTGAGCGGGGCCGCGATGAGGCCGAACTCCCGGATAAATTTATGGTAGTACCCCGCAAGGCCCAGAAATCCGCGAAGAGCCCGCGGCGACGGCCGCCACCTTGTCGGCGTCCATGGCCACCCCCGCGACCGAGATGACGTGATCGAGGTAAGCGACGGAAGGTGTCCCGGACGAGCACTTTGAGTGCTTAAGATGAATATGGTGCGCCCGAAGCTCGTTGAAGACGATGGCAACGTGCTGGAGGTGCTCTGCCCATGAAGCGTTGTAGATCAGAATGTCATCAAAGAAAACGAGCACAAACCGACGTAAGTAGGACCGGAGGACTTCGTTCATCAGAGCCTGGAAGGTCGCCGGGGCGTTGGAGAGGCCAAAGGGCATCACCAAGAACTCGAAGTGGCCGTGATGAGTCCGAAACGCCGTCTTGGTGATATCGTCCGGGTGCATGCGCACCTGATGGTACCCCGACCGGAGATCGAGCTTGGTGAAGAAGCGCGCCCCATGTAGTTCATCCAGGAGCTCATCGACCATCGGGATAGGAAACTTGTCCTTAAGTGTGAGAGCATTAAGGGCACGCTAGTCGATGCAAAACGCCACATGTCGTCCGACTTGCGAATGAGGAGGACCGGCGCGATGAATGGTGATGTGGAGATCCGAATGATGCCCGCGGCGAGCATGAGCGCACACTGCCGCTCCAGCTCGGCCTTCTGTAGCTGAGGATACCGATAGGGCCGTACTGCCACCGGTGGCGTGCCCGGCAGAAGATGAATACGGTGGTCGTAGACCCAGGCCGGTGGAAGGCCCTGCGGCTCCCCGAAGAGGTCACAGTGCTGCTGCAGGAGGTGGTCCAACAGAGGATGCTCCGCCTCGGCGGTGGCCGCGGCCAGCTGGAGCTGGGGTGGTGCCGGGGGGCTCCAATGCTTTCCCACCGGATGCGGCGGCTGAGACGCCAGAAGGTCATCGTCAGAGCGTCGAAGTCCCAGAGGATGGGACCGAGAGTCCGCAAGAAGTCGGCGCCGAGGATGAAGTCGAAGCAGCCCAAGTCGATGCCGGCGCACGTGATGGTGAAGTGCTCATCGCCGATAGTGATGGGCACGTCCCGTGCGAGCCCATGGCAGCGGAGGCGGTCGCCGTTAGCCATGGTGACCTGAAGTTGCTCCCCGCCTG